AATACAAAACGGTATTTCGTTTTTAACCCGCAAATGGTCGGATAATCAAGAAATACAAGATGGCCGCCCAAGATGGCCGCCAAAAATTCTGCAAATTATTCCTGCCATTGAAATTACACCTTTTATTGACCAACTATTGCTTTAACCCTTTCCAATCTACACATTACTGAAACCCAACCTCCCCCATAACCCTCCCCCCCCCCCCCCCACCTCAAAAAATAAAAGACTGCAGGGAAACTATGGAAAGTTGTGAAAAAAAATGATAACTAACCAGTCTAACACAAGACTAACAAATGCGTACAATTTTGAACATAATATAAATATGAAGAATAATCCCTAAAATCAATCAGAATTTACCCTTTTTTCCCATCTTTTCTCAGCTAACATTTCCTGTCAAAGCAGAAATATCAACTGAAAATGGTCATAATTTCTTTAAATTGACCAACAACCAGAAAGTATTATGACAAATTAAAAATACAAATAAAATACAAATTGTCCCTGTTTCCTTCCATCATTTAATCACAGAGCATAAAAGTCCCCAAAACATATTTGATTTTAGTTAAACCAATGAATGAAAAAAAATGTTTTTATACAAAAAAAATCAAAAAAAAACCCAAAACTTCGGGATTCAAAGACGGGAACGTGTTTAAATTTACAAAAATGTTTATTCACCCAATTTACTACCAAAAATTTTAAAGTAAAGTTTACCCTGAAACTTTTTTTTGAAAAAACCCTTCTTGTAGGTGTTTAATGGCAGGCTGGAAAAGTAAAAGCTGCTTTAAATCAACTCACCCCAGTACAAAACAAAAAGTTTACTGGTAAATATACAAAAAATCCCTTACATAAAGCCCAATCAAATTCAGGGGGAAAAATACATTTACCCTTACAGCAAAAATTTAAATATTTAAATCCCAAACCAAAAACAAAAGTATGATTGTATAAAAAGCTTTTGGAAACTTAATAGACCCCCAAAGAAAAATTTCGTTTTAATGGATAAATCTTTTCCCCTTTTCCCTTTCCCAAAGTTAAATGGGAAATTTTTAAAAAAAAAAGGAAACCCCATAATAAACATAAAAAATGGTAGGGAAAATGATTTTAAAAATTTTTTGCAAAATTTGTAAAAAAAAAATAAATTTTCAGAAAAATAGTGAAATAAAAATTTACTTGTCATTAAACCCCAATTTTGATATTTTCGGGAAAAAAAGCCCGGGCCCCAAAAACCCCCAAATGGTTAACGTCATAGTCTCTAGAAGTTTAAATAGGCCTCCCCCCAATCGGGATTTCTAAAAATAAAATTTTAATCATATTTATATAACATTTATAATAATCCCAGTTTTAAAGTTCTAGAATTTTTAAATTGGGCCTTAAAAAATTATAAATATCCCAAAATAAAAAACTGTGAAAAACCCAAAAGAAAAGCTGACTAATAACTTTTTCTTTCATCAAAAAATTATACCCTTTGCAGACTTTAAAAATTTTAAAGGGTTTTAAACCATTTACGTATCTTTCTTTTTTTTCATTGATCAGTCCAAGAGTTTCAAAATATGGAATTAATTTTTCCTAACCCAATGCAAAGTTTTTACCTACATAAACATACAACCCAAAATGAGAAACAGTTTTTCCCATATATATAGAAATAAAACGATACAGAATGACTGCTTAATTAAAAAGCATGAATCTCCTTACAATACAAAAATCTTCTTATAGAAAATTACAGAAACATAATTATATTATGTTCAGTGACATACCTGTATCATGGAAATGAAGAGGTTTGTGATTGGTCCCGGAAACTCATATGACAACAGACCTTTTGCAACACGAAAATATGAGTCATCTGCTTGTAGAATAGACAGTAACATCCCTTGAAACCTGAAATGCAAAATAAGCAAGCTAAATATTTCATTGTACATTACTTGGCAATGTATACTAAAATCATGTTATACTGTTTGACACATTACAATTTATCATATGAATATAGAAATGTACACCTATGTTATGAATACATTGTAATGGAATTAAATTTGCATGAAATATTCAATGATAATTTAAGTATTATAAGAACACAGAACTCAAACGCCCACGAAATGTATACATATAAAAGGAGCAGTGGCCTAGTTGTTAAGGTGCCTGTCTCATTGGATCAAGCCCTACTGGGATCACGATCATGTACTAATCAGTTCTAGGATGTCAACTCAAGGTTGGTTCAAATAAAGTTTAAGCTTTCTTCAAAATTAAGCTGACATATGTATTTATAAACAAAACAGCCAATACAAAAATCATCTGGTCAACACTATATCAACATGAACACTGGCCAGACTGTACTGGTATACTGGTCAAATAACCAAGTCAGGTGCATCATTTTGTATGCAAAACAATACATGTATTGTAAGATTTTTCACATTTTTCATTTTGTGAGAATTCATTTTTAATGCTTACTCTTCCTTCAAATAGAAATAGGTTGTTCTAATAAGTACAAGCTCACTGATCATCAGAAAAAATATATGACACCATTTAATGCCTACTTGTATACAAAACAGATCAATAAATATATACAAGTTATGATAAATTGTGTTACATATTGTCTATACATACCTGACACTGTCTATGATAGATTTCTGACAGTCAACAAACAAGGGGAGGAGGTAATATATGACACTGATAGCTGGCTTGAATAAACCTGCCTCTGTCAATACTTGTAGAAGTGCCACACCTTCCGATATAATCTCTCCAATACTGAATGTAAATATATCATGTTAACATGTGAATACTGATATCTTTTTTGATAGGTTGTGATATATAATTCTATATTTTAGAGACAGTTTGAAATGTTCTACCTGATAAGCAAACATTATATCTCAGACCTGTGAATGAACGAACAAAAGGAAATTACAATAAAAGCAATACTAAAAACTTGCACCAAGCAGAAAATAGGAAAGGGGTTACAGTACCTTCAGAACAAAAGTAATACAGTATATAAACTATCATGAAAATAACTGTTAAAATGAAGTAACAAACATTTTAAAATTGTACCTATGTCCATATCTAGTGAGCATGAGTGTAACATAACAAGCTGTTGGGTTTTTCTCTTTGATGCCTTTACACAGAGGCAGTAATGTATCATCACTATTAACATCAGGTGTATCACCGAGGCTAGTCTCTAGTCTACGATCATGTTGTGGTAGACTACCTCTATGTAAGGATAATTTCAACAACAAGTCCCAGCACCATGTATTAAACTCTTGTTCTAATGTCATGTATTGCTGTACTGCTGCTGATACCTACATCAAACCAACATGTACATAAATACATGCAAAACATGAAATAAAGAAATTAAAGTTCATTCTGGAAACAGTTAGTTAATAATTATCTACTGTAGTATATATTCAAAGTATATTGTATTTGACTCATCAAACATAAAAAGATGAAATTTGGAATAATATGAAATGTACAGATATTATCTTTTATCTCTAAACAAAATCACTGCAACGAAAACCTCTGATGAAGTAACTAATGACTGTAATGAATTATACTTTGTTTCTCATATTTTGAATTGATAAAATTGTAATAACAAAAGTATCACAAACTGCAAACAATTAAATAATTTTACAGAGATAAAATGCTCAACTGTCTTCATGAAAATATCAAATACTGTCAAAAACTGTAAGAAAATAAGATACCTGTTTGACACCCTCCATTATCATTGAGCCCAGGTTTTTACCAAAGATAAACTGTTGATATGCTTCTACAACAAGAACAGCCACCTGTTTATGTACCCTCCATGGAACCATTAATCTATCGCCCTGTAAAGTACATATTTAAACATTTTATCCATGGACTTATTAACCTATTTCCTTATAATATAAATATCTAAACATTTTATACATGGAAATATTAACCTATCTCCCTGTCACATAGATATTTAAAATCTACATATTGCAGGGAAGTTTCAGCAAAACGATATCACCGAGAAAAACTATTTACATAAAGTTTGTATATGAAAACAGTCTTTGATAAATAATTTTGTCACAAGAATACTCAAACAAATTGTGGAATCATTTTTCATTCACTTCATGGGGATATAATTTTCTGTATTGACAGTATCTACAAACCCTAGATGAGTGTCCCCAGTTGATATTACTCAGGATTTCCTGTGCAATAAGATTAGCTGGTGAGCCAAGGGCAGTGTTGAGTAGCCACTGACGTAAAATTCCCAGGTCAGAATCTGTAGGTAACCACGTCTCCATGTTGATTCCTTTATACAGGTATAAACCCATCTGAAATTTAACAGTATGATGTTACATAAACAAGCATAATTAATTTACTGTATTCTTTCTGTCAAACATATGTTGTGCATGCTTGTTTCATGTAATTAAATCTTAAATATATCTGATTCTAACATGCTTTACACTATTCCGCTATCAAACAGATATATTATTACACAATATATGCACAGCTTAAAAAAGAATACTTACATGTCCTATGATGTCACATATGATGTCAATAAACCAAAATGACATCAGAAAAATTACTTTTTCACTAAATGTAGTTCAACATATTTTTATCAATTCTCTTTTTCATAAGCATGTTAGAATGGAAAAAGCTATTCATTTTTCATGCATGATAATATAATAATGCATGGTTTTTGTTTTTGTTTTTTGCAGTGCTTGTTGTAAATCAAATATAAACAAAAACATTTGTACATATATAGCAAGTCAATTAAGCAAATGATCAAAGATAAAGGTCAGAAAGTAATAGAGAAATATGATAGTCAAATAAATATGCAACAAGTGGTAAAAGCTGATACCTGTCCAAGTTTGTCCATGTATTCATGTACCCTCTGTGTTAATACAGATAACATAAATGGATGACATGTGATGACTGCCGATAGTAATTCTCTCCCCATCTTAGAACATACATCCCTAGTTTCTGGACAGATGTATGACACCTAGAATAAATCTTAACTCATAAAATACAGAATTTACCAATATAATTATATTTTCAGTTCTTTCTGAAAAATATTATTGAATTGCTAAAGAACATGCATGCCACTGAAACTCATTTTAAGCATCATCTTTAAACTAAATCTAACTTACAGTCAAAACTTTTTTTATGGAGAGGCCAAGTAAAAACAGTTACAGACTAGTACCTATATCAATCTTCGTGACATGTAAATACATCATTCTATCCAATGATGGAAGACCAGTGGCATAAAACATTTATATGTTATCAATCAAATCATCACATAAAATCCTGGCTAACGTCCACATACTAAAATACTCTACACAGCTATGAAACCCATTGTTTCATTGCACAATAACAAGTTTATTCCACAGGAAACAAAAAAAGATGTTGTATACATCTCACCTCAAACACTGACATGGTAACTGTTTCTATAAAGGTGATATCAGCTGAGGAACAACTTTCTGTCATGTTTGTCATGGTATTTAGGAGGTAAATGCCCTCGGAGGCTGGTACCCTCTGTAATATGTCAGATAACTGGCTACTACAAGATGCATCTGTCAAATCAAATAGGAAATATTACAAATAATATAAATAATATTTAAATGAAAATACTTAGACAAACACAGAAATATGTATGTAGAAGGAAACTATATAGACTGAATTAACATTGAACTTAGATACCAATTATAATCATGAAAACATGTGCACCAATTTGTTATAATGTCGACTTGAAGATAAAATTGACAATCTATTGTTCCTACTGTGTGTTTTATGAAAAGATGTTAAAATTGAAGTGAAGATTTTTTTTGTTTAGTTTTAATTTGAAAGGTAAGTAAAAGAGACTTGTAAGTGAATTATGGAAGGTCTGTATAAAAGAGATATATTGAAGGGTCTTAACAACTTTAAGGAATGCCATATAAACAGTGCAAGTGAATAAAACAAAATAGACTTTAGATGTGTCTTTTTTTTTTCTAAAAAATTCTTACTAGTTAAGAATAAACTAGAAATTTGTCAATAGGACACGGGTGCCCCCACACTCCAATGTTTTGTCAATCTTATGACTCTAGGTCAAATAATTTTTGGTCTATATGTGCAACAAGTTGAAAACTAAAAATCTTTTACTAAGTAAAGGGCAAGACCTTTACAAATACTGATATAAATCCATAAGCGAACCCCAAGGTGCATAAGTATACATGCTGACCAACATTCTTGTAAACTTTCAGGCCTACAGGTCAATTTCTTTTTGTGCAAGCATGGACAAGTTGAAAATTGCAAATTTATACTACTGGTATTGAAAGTCAAGGGCAATAACTCTTAACAAAACTGAAAAAAATTCAACTTGCAAAGTCCCAGGTGCATAGCTTCACAGTGATGTTGATCATTATTCCTGTAAAGTTGGTTGATTCTAACTCAAGCACTCAAGGAACAAATAACACAACATAATGAAACGGTTTTTACTAAGTCAAGATAATAACCAAATTATGGATAAATCGACAAGCCAAACCCAAAATGCACAACTACACATGATAACCAACATTCCTATTAAGTTTCATGACTCTAGGTTAAATTCACTTTGAGCTACGCACGACACAAATTGAAAATTGCAAATTTTCACTAAGTCAAGAGCAGTTACTCTGACAAAACATATAAATTCACAAGCAAGACCCCAGGTGCACAACTTCACATGCTGATCAACATTCCTATAAAGTTTTATGACCCTATGTCAAAAAGTTTTTGAGCTACGTGTGACACAAGTTGAAAATAGCAAATTTTTACTAAGTCAAGGACAAAAATTCTGCAAATACTAAATAAATTCACACGAAAATACCCAGGTGCACAACTTTATATGCTGATCAACATTTCTTTAAGTTTCATGACCCTAGGTCAAATACTTTTTGAGCTATGTGTGACACAAGTTGAAAATTGCAAATTTTTACTAAGTCAAGAGCAATAACTCTAACAAAACAGAATAAATCCACAAGTGAAACTCCAGGTGCACAACTTCACATGCTGAGCAACATTCCTGTAAGGTTTCATAACTCTAGGTCAAATACTTTTTGAGTTACGTACAACCCAAGTTGAAAATTGCAAATATTTACTAAGTCAAGGGCAATAACTCTAAAAATTAGGGATGGCAACGAATACCAAAATCAATACTCGAGTACTCGGTCATTGTTCCGATCGAGTACTCGGTTACTCGGATGATTTCCAATGATATTTAAAGTTTTATCACACAATATGAACACTCCCTGCATGCTACTTTCGTTTTCTATTTTAATTCATAGAATTCGTAACTATAAATAGAACTGCAAGAAATACATATATAAATATAAACATAAGAAATGTCAATGACAGCATTAATTATATACCTACAAATTTTTCTCCCTAAAATACAGGATGAACTTGAAGCGCAAATATGCTTCAACGGATAGAAAATTCCATATTATGTTAGTGACAAATGCGGTACCTGCCAGACTATTTTTGACGTTGGTTCCGATCTTAGCTGTGTATAAACGTAGCATTTGAAAACGGAAACCAAAATTACAAAAGGCGTGGCCGCTTTTGCAAAAATTACGTATTCATCCCTCGGTCATAAATTTATTTCTTGACAGCTACACTTCATTTTCTGAAATTTTTTATAGAAGTGTAGTATAATGAAAATCATTTATAATTCAGACGAAAAGGTATATAATAAAAGGAAAATTATGTTGCAGTAGCTTTTAGAGCCTATGCATTTTTCTACTCGCAATGTTGGAAAATTGATATTTCGCTCGACCTTCGGTCTCGCGAGATATCAATTTTTCCACCGCTGCTCGTAGCAAAATACAAAGCTACAACATAATAGTCCATATCTATTTACGTTTTTTATAATAAATAAGTTTCGACTACAAACTGTCTAATATTTAAAGGTGATTAAATATCATAAGATAAGACGACCGAATGCATAAACGACACAGGACTGTGTTCATTCCCATACGCGTGTCAAACTGCTGATCGCCTCGTTAAATTTACAATATCATTTTCACACCTCTACAAGGATGTTTTGATTGCATTTTACAAGTATTTATACATATACGAATTTCCGAACTAATCTTTTTAAATCGCAAAAAAAGTAGAAATTAAATATTTTTTCCGAGTAATCGAATATCAATTTTGATAACCGATATTCGGACGTTCGACCGAGTACTCGGTTAACCGGTTACTCGTTGCCATCCCTGCTAAAAATACAAAATAAATCCATATGAAAATACCAAAGTGCACAACTACACATGCTGATCAACATTCCTGTAAAGTTTTATGACTCAAGTTCAAATACTGTTTGAGTTACGTGCGACGCATGTTGAAAATTGCAAAATTTTACTAAGTCAAGGGCATTAACTCTGAAAACACTAAAAATATCAACACGAAAATACCCAGGTGCACAACTACACATGCTGATCAACATTCCTGTAAAGTTTTATGACTCTAGTTCAAATACTTTTTGAGTTACATGCGACACAAGTTAAAAATTGCAAATTTTTACTAAGTAAAAGGCAATAACACTAAAAATACTAAATAAATCCACACTGCACAACTACACATGCTGATCAACATTACTGCAAAGTTTCATGACTCTAGGTCAAATACTTTTGAGCTACGTGCGACATAAAAAAGAACAGACGGAAGGACATGGAAGGACTGACAAGGGTAAATCTAAATGACCCCCCCACTAAAGTGGGGGCACAAAAATCTCACAAGTTTTCAGTCTTAAAACCCTTTCTACTACATCATGTATTAAACAATCTGATTTGTATCAACATACATTAAACATTGATTTAGAAGCTCTGTTCGTGTGTGTAAAAATGAAACATAATCAGTCATATGTAATTCTAAATCATTGCTTAAATTATGTAAAATCTATATTACTAGAATAAATGCTACATTCCCATCTATAGATTATATATAAACTGTTGTAATAAAAAAAACTTGTTACCACTAATGAATTTGATACTTCTTTATTAAAGTCATGAAAAGTTCCTTTTCTAAAAATCTATTTCATCATAAAATCAAGGGCAGCAGTTACTTATTAAATAAAAGTAAGCAAATTAATTAAATCTCAGCAAAATTATGAAAGTTAGAAGAAAACAAGAGGGCCATGATGGCCCTAAGGTCGCTCACCTGTATGTAGGCCCCCGGAGCGGGGCCAGTTTAAACCCCAGGGCTTTTATTTGAACAAACTTGGAAGACACTTATAAGAAGACGTTTCATGATGTACACACTTATAGTGAAAAACAATGATCTGCCCTCCCCTACCCCCGGCAGGGCCAATTTTAACCAAGGGCTTTTATTTGAACAAACTTGGTAGACACCCATAAGAAGATGTTTCATGCTAAACATCTAAGCTCTAGCTCATTGTGTTTTTTTAAAGAAGATTTTTTTAAGTTTTTACTATACACATATAGTTAAAAACAATGACACCCCTGGGGCGGGGCCAGTTTTGACCCCAGGGCTTTTATTTGAACAAACTTTGTAGACACTTACTAGAACATGTTTCATGCTTAATATCTAAACTCTAGCTATTTGGGTTTTTTCAAAGATGTTTATTAAGTTTTTCCTATACACATATCAGGAAAATCAATGACCCCTAGGGCAGGGCCAATTTTGACCCCAGGGCTTTTATTTGAACAAACTTTGTAGACACTCACTAGAAGATGTTTCATGCTTAATATCTTAACTCTAGCTATTTAGGTTTTTTCAAAGAATACTTTTTTGTAGTTTTTGATATACACATATATAAGGAAAATCAATGACCCCCGGTACGGGGCCAATTTTGACCCCAGGGCTCTTATTTGAACAAACTTGGTAGACACCCATTAGAACATGTTTCATGCTAAATATCTTAGCTCTAGCTCTTTGAGTTCTTTAAAAGAAGATTTTTTAAGTTTTTACTATATACATGTACATATAGGGAAAATCAATGACCCCCTGGGGCGGGGCCAATTTTGACCCCAAGGCTTTTATTTGAACAAACTTGGTAGACACCCATTAGAACATGTTTCATGCTAAATATCTTAGCTCTAGCTCTTTGAGTTCTTTAAAAGAAGATTTTTTAAGTTTTTACTATATACATATAGGGAAAATCAATGACCCCCTGGCGCGGGCCAATTTTGACCACAGGGCTTTTATTTGAACAAACTTGGTAGACAACCATTAGAACATGTTTCATGCTAAATATCTTAGCTCTAGCTCTTTGAGTTCTTTTAAAGAAGATTTTTTAAGTTTTTACTATATACATATAGGGAAAATCAATGACCCCCTGGGGCGGAGCCAATTTTGACCCCAGGGCTTTTATTTGAACAAACTTGGTAGACACCCATTAGAACATGTTTCATGCTAAATATCTTAGCTCTAGCTCTTTTGGTTCTTTAAAAGAAGATTTTTTAAGTTTTTACTATATACATATAGGGAAAATCAATGACCCCCTGGGGCGGGGCAATTTTGACCCCAGGGCTTTTATTTGAACAAACTTGGTAGACAACCATTAGAACATGTTTCATGCTAAATATCTTAGCTCTAGCTCCATGAGTTCTTTAAAAGAAGATTTTTAAATTTTTACTATATGCATATAGGGAAAATCAATGACCCCCTGGGGCGAGGCCAATTTTGACCCCAGGGCTTTTATTTGAACAAACTTGGTAGACACTCATTAGAATATGTTTTATGCTAAATATCTTAGCTCTAGCTCTTTGGGTTCTTTAAAAAAAGATTTTTTAAGTTTCTACTATATGCATATAGGGAAAATCAATGACACTCTGGGGCGGGGCCAATTTTGACCCCAGGGCTTTTATTTGAACAATCTTGGTAGACACTCACTAGAAGATGTTTCATGCCAAATATCTAAGCTCTAGCTCTTTGGGTTCTTTAAAAGGAGATTTTTTAAGTTTTTACTATATGCATAAAGGGAAAATCAATGACCCCCTGGGGCGGGGCCAATTTTGACCCCAGGGCTTTTATTTGAACAAACTTGGTAGACACTCATTAGAAGATGTTTCATGCTAAATATCTTAGCTCTAGTTCTTTGGGTTCTTTAAAAGAAGATTTTTTAAGTTTTTACTATATGCATATAGGGAAAATCAATGACCCCCTGGGGCGGGGCCAATTTTGACCCCAGGGCTTTATTTGAACAATCTTGGTAGACACTCACTAGAAGATGTTTCATGCCAAATATCTAAGCTCTAGCTCTTTCGGTTTTTTAAATGAAGATATTTAAAGTTTTTTCTTTTGGTTGCCATGGCAACCAGAGTTCTGCATGGAATTAAATTCTTTGAACAATTTTTAAAGGTGACCACCAAAGGAACATTCCTGTGAAGTGTGGATGAAATTGGCTTAGTGGTTTATGAGGAGATGTCATTTAAAGTAAAAGTTTACGGACGGACGACGGACGGACGGACACCGGACGAAAAGCGATCACAAAAGCTCAACCTGTCACTTTGTGACAGGTGAGCTAAAAACACACAGATTCACTTTAATGATAAAGTACAGGTTAATGTTAGTTAATCAGCACTGATGAAATTCAATTTGTCTAGAGCGGTGCTATCACTCTCCGTGCTATCACTCCACTGATTAAATGGAATTAATGTTGACTTGATGCAATAATAACCTACCTAATGGTTGAAGTTTTGTATTAAGCTTTTTCACAGGGAGAGTATGATACATTGATATAACAGGATAGTATTTAATGACAAGTTGGTGACGATAAATAGATTAAATGTACCAAAGAATTTAAACAAGAGCCCGGTTTGAGCCGGGTGATGCTCCCCGAATAGGTTTTGGACACAGGAAAGTACACCTCTTGTAGTTTCAGAGTTATGTCTGTGGAAAAAGTTCAAAGTGCAATAATTCCAAAATTAGGCAAGGCAGAGTTACAGTTCTTTGCACTGAACTTCTAATCACTGTGATCTATCAACCTACAAAGTTTCTTGATGATATCTCTTATGATTTCCGAGTTATGTCTTGGACAATTCAAAAAGTAAAAATAAACAAAGGGCAATAACTCCAGAATTAGGCAAGGTAGAGTTATGATTCTTGTGCACTGCACATCTACCCATTGAGATTTATCTACCTACAAAGTTTCATGTTGATATCTCTTATAGTTTTACAGCTATGTCCTGGAGAAGATTTTTCTAAAAGGGGAGATTATTCAAAAATAAGGCTTAACAGAGTTATGGTTCTTTTGCACTGCACCTCTACTCAATGAGATCTATTTACCTACAATGTTTCATGTTGATATCTCTTATAGTTTTAGAGTTATGCCCCGGACGAGAATTTTCTATAAGGGGAGATAATTAAAAAACCAGGCAAAACAGAGTTATGGTTCTTTGACACTGCACTCCCCATCAATGCCCTCTACCACTGTATGAAGTTTCAACAAATTATATCCAAGGGTTTTAAAGTTATATTCCTGACAAAGTTCAATTTCAAAGTATTAAAATAAACAAAGGGCAATAACTCCAAAATTAGTACAAAAAGAGTTATTGTTCTTATGCACTGCACATCTACCCATTGAGATCTATTAACCTACAAAGTTTCATGTTGATATCTCTTATAGTTTTAGAGTTATGCCCCGGACAAGATTTTTTTTTAAGGGGAGATAATTCAAAAACCGGGCAAAATAGAGTTATGGTTCTTTGACACTGCACTCCCCCTTGATGCCCTCTACCACTGTATGAAGTTTAAACAAATTATCTCCAAGGGTTTTCAAGTTATGTTCCGGACAAAGTTCTAAGTATTAAAATTAACAAAGGGCAATAACTCCAAAATTAGGATGAAAAGAGTTATTGTTCTTGTGCACTGCACATCTACCCATTGAGATCTATTCACCTACAAAGTTTCATGTTGATATCTCTTATAGTTTTAGAGTTATGCCCCGGACAAGATTTTTCTATAAGGGGAGATAATTCAAAAACCGGGCAAAATAGAGTTATGGTTCTTTGACACTGCACTCCCCCTTGATGCCCTCTACCACTGTATGAAGTTTCAACAAATTATCTCCAAGGGTTTTCAAGTTATGCTCCGGACAAGACAACGGACGGACAGACGGACAGACGGACGGACGGACAGACGGACGGACGGACAGACGGACAGACGGACAAAGCGCCGACTATATGCTCCCCCGAAATTTTTCGGGGAGCATAAAAATAGAACAAATTTATTGGAGAAAATATAATTTCAACAACTAAAATACATTGAATCAGATATGAGTTTATGTTTAGTCAAGTACCAATCAGTTATTCAACTTTTAACCTTTACCCCATGAGCATTTTGCGAAAAATGGCCGTTTTCATTGAAAAGCCTCCTGTAACAAGTTCAAACTGCTATGAAACTATGAAAAATGCTATGAAACTATGAAAAATGCTTCAATACTGATGAAACTTGGCACAAATGTTGGCACAAATGTTGACCATAGCCTCTTTAACAGCATGCTCAATCGTAAATTTCTTGTTACCATGGCAACCGGGGGGGGGGGGTTATTGCCAAAAATCACTATTTAGCATTGTTTTTTTTATCAAAACTGATTTCAAAGTGCTGCAACTTCTCAATGAATTGAGTAAAAGGCTTTTCAGCGTCGGTTACTTGTTACCCTAAAAATGACCTGAGGCTATTTTTAGCCCGTCACATGTCCAAAATTTTCTTGGCAATGAGGGGGACTACCGCCCCACTTCAAATCCCCCAAACAGAAGGGGATGTGCCCCCTTCTGGCAACCCCTGATGTAACATTTGGATGGGGGGGGGGGGGGGCAGTGCCAAAAAAGGGGTCACTTTTTTTAACAACATTTCTCAAATGAAAAACAGTGCTTGGGGCATAAATAGGGCATTTTTTCACTGTTTGAGGCCTCAAAAAAGGGTGGGGGGGACAAAAAGCCGTCAAAACACGTCTATATAAGGGAAAAGGTTAAGAACAATCAGTGATTTAACCATTAAGAATAATCAGTGATTCAACCATTAAGAACAATCAGTGATTAAACCATTAAGAACAATCAGTGATTCAACCATTGAGAATAAACGGCAATTCAACCATTAAGAAGTTCTAACTAATGTTTTATATGAGATGCAAAGCAACACTTTTTGTACTTATGTTCCAATCTAAGCAAGATGAATAGTGTATATAACTTTGGAAATAAGTCACATAGTGCTTGCAACCACTAACATGGTAAATGGTAAAATATGTGAACAAAGTCCATAGTCATGTGATAATTATAAATTGAGTTGTATACTAATTGGTACTTTACTGTAGATGAACATTTACCGTTTGCAAGTATAAACTCTGTAATATAATGAATGTCAACACTCAAAAACAAACTAATTTGTTGTGCACTAAAATTTGACAAATAATTTTTGGAAAATTTTACAATATTGATCAATAATAACATTATGCTTCAAAACTTGTCTAGAAATTAAACAGTGACAGGAAAAAGAAAATTTAAAAGTTCTAGTAGTCAATAAATCTAGATTTGAAAAAGTTTCATAACATTTATTTTCATTTGAGTATGAAATAACCTCTTATGTCCACAAAATTAAACGTTGATCATAATCTTACCTTTGACAAAGTTAATGCATTCCTGGGCTGACGGTATTTCATGAATTTCAAAGGAGCGGCCATGACCTTGGTGTAGAAGCCAGAGAATTTTCCACATTGTTTCCTTAGAAATCCTTCCAAATGGCATGTCTGCTATAAACTGCCATGACCCTAACCTGTAAAATAAACAATCTGACACTGTATTAAAGATTATAGGCTCTCAATGAATTCTTTTTTTCTACTTTCCTATTCAATAAAAGTAGGCAACTAAGTAGAATTTTCTGATTTTGAAATATATAAAATATGTTTTATATTTATTTATATATATATATATAATATATATATATTTTTATAACTACAATGATGCCAGGAAAGTAGATATTTATATCATCTCTTTAAAAGCCTCTACCAAGATACCGGTGCTCAACTTATACAATTGTTTTTATTCAAATTGTGAAGTTTAACCTTCAACATTGAAGTAAAAAAGCTTCTTTCTATAAACCTGTCACAAGTTGTGTTTATCATTAAGAAGGTAAGTACACTTTAGATTTTACTGTGGGAATTTATTAGTACTTATTTGGGCCATTTGGTTTTATAATATGTCTTGTCTTTAACTTAGACATTGCTCATTTTTTTGCAAAACAGTGTGGTTAAAGAAATGTTTTGACTGAATTTATTTTTCTCCAATCTTCTGGATAATTTTTATTTCATTCAAACTTCTGATTGCTATACAATTACCAATCTTCTCAGGTTAAGAGGACATAAAGAACAAACCTTTGTGACATGTGGATGAAGTTGACAGCTCTCATAAAGAAAGCATCATATTCCACCTGAAGTTTCTGTAGTGCCTGTACTGGCATTATCCCCTGATTAGCCTCGCTAAAATTCTCCCAATGGTCCGATACAAACTGTACACATTGTCTGAAATATATCAAGTACTTATTTATAAGTGGTTAGTATTTGGTTCATCCTCTGCATTCAACTTAAAATAAAATTACTTCCAGCAATTATGATGTTATTTGGAAGCTTCTGTACATATTTCACTTTATTTCAATCACAAATGAATGTTGTCAGCATTTTTTATTAACAAAGTTAAATTGTTTTTCAAAAGTTCAACTACAAAACTAGAGAATTTTAATACCAACAAACAATAATATAAAGTAACCTGATCAATCTGCCAAGCCTTTTGTTTAGTTGTCTATACCGTGCCATACTGTATGTTCTCAACCCATTTCCTAATATCCGTATTAGACATGTACAGAAAGCAAATACACGATACATGGTAGACTCTGTTGTCTTCTTTATATCATACTCGTATGTCTCTGAAACAAATATTTAACTAATGTAAGAACTCTATCAAGTATCAAAATTGATGGGTTTGATTCTCACTTTATTATCAAAACTTGTTTCGCTTTTATAAGCTTCATCAATTGATACGATAAATAACAAAGAAAATCACGTATTACTACCAAACAGATGTCAACGTAAATAGATGCCACATTTGGCACATAAAAGGAACATTCCATAATGAAATAAAATTATTTTCTACAAAATTCTTAGTTTCTTAAAAGACCCAAAGTTCTAGATATAGACTCTAGCATTACCTATGGAAGACAAAAGTTTTCTTTAATAAGGTTAATATGGTTATGTTTACACTACACTTAGAATATTAAATATTGGACTGCGTGTATTTCTTTAATGGAATGTTGTTCTATAAACTGCTGACTTTGAGTAATGAATTACCGGTAGCCCCTGCATCAAGTTTATAGGATGTGCAGGCTGACTGGGCTACATCCTGGTGATAAAGGATAACCAAATTAGGTTCTAGAAGGCTCAGAGTTAGCTTCTACAATTTCATAGTGAATGACTAGACATCAATCTTCTTTCTTCCAATGATGTGTATCAATGATGCAGATAAAAATTACATAAAAAGTACCCTCTGACAATACAAAGTTATCTTACTTTATCTGTAATATCAATCACTGACATTAATACATGTACACTTCAATTAATAAACACTGTCCACATATAAAACTTACCTCCAGTTTGTGATTGGACGATAAAGAATATGTGTCTAAATATAGCAGCCAATGGGAGTTGTTTGAGGATAGCCACTACATCATTTTCATGTAGATATACCCAAGAACTCTGGGGATCTTCATCCTTAAAACAAATAAATACTTAAATTTCCTTAAAAAACAACATAATGTACATGAGCAAAGCTTCAAAATGCTAAACTGTCATAGCTACTATAATTTAATCAATGAATGCAGACTTTTGTTTAAATCAAATTTTTAATACTTTACATAAAATAAGTAAAAGAAAGAGCATCGAAACACAAGGCTATCTGATTTGTACGAGGGTGTGTAGAAACTAGAACTAACCTCTTCCCCATCAGAATCTACCATAACCCACGATAGATTTTTGTTATCCTTTCCTGTTGTCAACATTTTCTGCATCTTACACATAAATTCACTACGGTAACTGAAAATGTTCATAAAAATCATTTGTGAAGATTGTAACTGTTATATAACAAATAAAATCAAGATAAACAAATTTCAAATTACTGGAAAGATTTATCTTTCAATCTTCATCATCATTTAGGGTTTTACAAGAAGGTTTCTTTTACTGATAAAAAAATGTCTATCTTTTTAACATTACTAATCCTTACTTAAAATTAATTAAAAAAGATCATGCAAGAACAGCATGATCTCCTACTTAACCTTTACCATGCAAAGTGATTAGCTTTTACAACAAATATAGAACTAGGCCAGTACGCACATCTGTGTGGTCCAACCAGCTTCATGAATTAAATTTCCATCATGTTATCCCCAAAAATTGATCAAGTCCAGTTAGCTGGTCAAGTGGATTTAAGAGATTCAGTAGGTTAAGCGCTAACACCCCAATAATTATACTTTAAAATCAAACCAAACTTTATGGATAACAAAAGCACAAACCTGGTAGGAATTAACACTGTGGACAATCCTGTAATGATATGATCAAGGTAAACATTTCCAAATACCAGAGGTGAGTAATCTTCATTTGTTGGTATTGGTGGAGTCTGTACAAAATGAGAGGCCCATGATCCTATCCCTGATGGACATCTCATTATCTGGTTTAATATGTACAGGTGATCTTCAAATGTTCCTACACGCAACAATGCCGCAACCTAAAATTCAATTCAGAGTTTGCATGAATATATAAAATTGTTGTTTATGTCTTCATATTCTTAATATTCTTCTGCAATAGATAGAAAAAAAACATGCTAAATGGATTTTCTTGACTAACAGAGTACCCTGGTTATAAGAATATGGGTTTGTAGTTATGCCACCAAACTATCTATTTCTAAGTTATAATTGGTATTTGAAAGAATGACCATTTCTCTGTTGTCTTTTGCAGACAGTTAAGAACTGAACAGGAACATATTTTCTGCTTTATATAGCTTTTCATCTCTAATTGTTTTTCCAAGAACAAAGGAGAATCATCACTTAAGAGAAAAGAGAATTAACTATACAAACATACCATTCTTTCAGTCCATTGTTGTAAATTTTCCAACATTTCTATATCATCTATAGGAAGACGATGGAATGTAAACAATATAGACAAACAGTCCAGTAGTTTCTGTACCTGATGTACAGCATTAGGATTCTGTCTCTCACATGCTACAAAACATATACATATCCATGGTAATATAATTGTTGATATATACAATTTTTTATATAAATATTGATATTCTATGATTAGTTTAGATATTATTCATATTTTTATTGTTTCATTTTCTCTAGTCAACATTTAACACTGAATGTACCAGTTTAAAGCTTTGTTTTCTATTAGTTAGGGAACTTTGAACTTCCTTTATAATGCTATAAACTCAAAACAAATGTCTGAATATAGGTTATCAACTTGACATTAGCAATATGTTATCAACTTGACATTGGCAATATGTTATTAACTTGACATTAGCAATATGTTATTATTCATTGACATAAGCAATATGTTATTATTCATTGACATAAGCAATATGTTATTAACTTGACATTGGCAATATGTTATTAACTTGACATTAGCAATATATTATTATTCATTGACATAAGCAATATGTTATTAACATGAAATTAGAAATATGTTATTAACTTGACATTAGTAATATGTTATTATTCATTGACAAAAGCAATATGTTATTAACTTGACATTAGTAATATGTTATAAACTTGACATTGGCAAGATGTTATCAACTTGACATAAGCAATATGCTATTAACTTGACATTAGTAATATGTTATTATTCATTGACATAAGCAATATGTTATTAACTTGACATTAGTAATATGTTATTATTCATTGACATAAGCAATATGTTATAAACTTGACATTAGTAATATGTTATTAACTTGACTTAAGCAATATATTATTATTCATTGACATAAGCAATATGTTATTAACTTTACATTAGCAATATATTATTATTCATTGACATAAGCAATATGTTATTAACTTGACATTGGTAATATGTTATTAACTTGACATTAGTAATATGTTATTAACTTGACATAAGCAATATATTATCATTCATTGACATAAGCAATATGTTTTTAACTTGATATTAGTAATATGTTATAAACTTGACATTAGCAATATGTTATTATTCATTGACATCAGCAATATGTTATTAACTTGACATCAGCAATATGTTATTAACTTGACATTGGTAATATGTTATTAACTTGACATTAGTAATATGTTATTAACTTGACATAATCAATATATTATTATTCATTGACATAAGCAATATGTTATTAACTTGACATTAGTAATATGTTATTAACTTGACATTAGCAATATGTTATTATTCATTGACATAAGCAATATGTTATTAACTTGACATTAGCAATATGTTATTATTCATTGACATAAGCAATATGTTATTAACTTGACATTGAAAATATGTTATTAACTTGACATTAGTAATATGTTATTAACTTGACATAAGCAATATGTTATTAACTTGACATTAGTAATATGTTATTAACTTGACATTAGCAATATGTTATTATTCATTGACATAAGCAATATGTTATTAACTTGACATTAGCAATATGTTATTATTCATTGACATAAGCAATATGTTATTAACTTGACATTGAAAATATGTTATTAACTTGACATTAGTAATATGTTATTAACTTGACATAAGCAATATGTTATTAACTTGACATTAGTAATATGTTATTAACTTGACATTAGCAATATGTTATTATTCATTGACATAAGCAATATGTTATTAACTTGACATTGGTAATATGTTATTAACTTGACATTGGTAATATGTTATTAACTTGACATTAGTAATATGTTATTAACTTGACATAAGCAATATATTATTATTCATTGACATAAGCAATATGTTATTAACTTGACATAAGTAATATGTTATTAACTTGACATTAGCAATATGTTATTATTCATTGACATAAGCAATATGTTATTAACTTGACATTGGTAATATGTTATTAACTTGACATTGGTAATATGTTATTAACTTGACATTAGTAATATGTTATTAACTTGACATAAGCAATATATTATTATTCATTGACATAAGCAATATGTTATTAACTTGACATTAGTAATATGTTATTAACTTGACATTAGCAATATGTTATTATTCATTGACATAAGCAATATGTTATTAACTTGACATTGGTAATATGTTATTAACTTGACATTAGTAATATGTTATTAACTTGACATAAGCAATATGTTAATAACTTGACATTAGTAATATGTTATTAACTTGACATTAGCAATCTGTCATAGACAGGAAAATGGTCTGATCAAATTTTAACTTTTTGAGACAGGTTTTGAAGACTTAAATTAGGTACAGTTACAGCAGTTACAGGAGGAAACAGTTTTCATTGTCAACAAGGCTGTGGAAAAGAACAACTGACAATTAGTAAATATGGTAACTTTATCGTCCTTGTTTGGCACTCATCTGTATAACTGGCCAGCTAAGTGTCAGCATTATGTGGCTAGATACAGCACCATATAATAGTGTTAATAAGGCATGGGAGATCAATTAATTAGAAGAATAAAGCAGCTAAGACTTAGCTTAACAAAGAACTCATTGCTTCCTCTCTATATAATGTAGTACAGATTGTAGATAGAGACACTTAAGTCAAGCACACTCTACTGATACTCTAATATATAAAAAAAGCTCAACAAACTAACAGATTTTCATTACAGTTTGCAAAACACCTGACTGAGAAACAAATCTTTCAAAGTAAAATATTCCTAGAAGAATATCACTCGCTGCTGTAATGTATGTATAAGATAAACAAAATCATTTAAATCTGTAGTAAATATATCTAGACAGCAGTGAGCATAAATGGCTTTAAATTTTAGATCAAAATGTTTACCTATTACAGGTAGATTTTTTGGAATATCTCTGAGAACTGGTGAAGTAACAAACAAATTGTGAATATAAGATTCCACTTGTAATCTGAAATTTAAAATCAACTTTATAATATCAGTTTTCTTGCTTTATAAATATTCAAATTAATATTTCATCCATATAAAAAATACAGATACTTCTTTTTTTATCAAATGATCAATTAAGTGTTAAGCTTTTGTCAATTTAATAACTCTTATCAATAAATGTTAAAATATTGATACTCAAAGAAAATGACTAGTCACTGACTTTGAATTCTAAAGTTCAAGCACATAAACCAACTATATTACTGCATCTCAAAAAGCCATCAAATCAAGTATGGTGTCAAAATATAAATTTTGGACAATGAACAGAATGGTAACAGTACTCTTAATCTCTTAACACCCTAATCTATATCTGTATGGACATTTTGTGATCTTATCTGTCTCAAAATCACTCTTATACATTATATAAATTATCAAATCACACACATTTTTAAAAGAATAGCTTTTTTCCATTGGAAATACAAAAAATGTTTGTGTGTACATACTTTGAAAGTTGAGAGGAGTATGAATGAAGAGCTAGTTCATTGTGTATCTGATCTTGTATGTTCTTCAAGTTCAAGGTCATCCTAGACAGGGCATTATAGTCCAGTTTTACCTGATTGTAGCTATGCATTCCAACACAATTAACTTGGTCCCCACAAACACCCTACAAAAGTCACACCAAAAACGTTATAAAACAAGCATACTAACAACACAAATAACATTACAAAACATACAGCAGTTCAAGATTCTGTGTGTGTATTTATCACCATTCTTCAAAAATTAACCTCTATCATAATAAAGTTATGCTTCCTTCAATCTGACTGAAACCATTTATTATTTATAGTATAATTTACGAAATTGTTACTAACTGAATAGTAAACAGTCGAGACCATGATCAGACAGCATGGATGTGCAGGCAGGTATTGGTCAGCTGTCAGCACTGGTGTCATGGATTGAATCTTTTGTAGCAAGCAGATTAAAGGTTAGTATCTTCTTTCTCCATTGACAAGTTACATAAATGTTAAGAGGTGAAATATCTGAAATGAATTGTCTAAATTGTTCCCAACCAACAAACCATGATATAAATGTTGCCCTCTTACTAAAGGAGAGCGATGGGCAAAACAGTATTTCAATGTCAATATATCACCTGACTAAGGATATATTTTATGGATTTCACTGACTCAGAAATGAAATATTTCTTACTTTAACAGTTTGTGATTTTGTCTCTGTTATCCAAATTTCACCTTGTGATTGTCTATAACTTTCCTCGTAAGTATTTAAGGCTGCCTCACACTGCAGTAAATGTTTACGTGCTCTCTGATAACTCATTAAAATCTCATAAAACTCATGGTTTTCTCTCTTCATCTCCATCTACAACAACAACAACAATGTTCAAATCAGTGTCAGATATATGGGAGTCACTTCTAATTGGGGACATTCTATATAAAATATTCTTTCAAATCAGTAACCTTAACAACACTGAATGTATGGTCATATCAGCAAGAATAATTATTTAATTATACATTGATATAATGATAGCATATGAAGTTTATTCAAATTTGAATTGGTATTATATATTTACCTGTACAAATCTATCAATGTAAGCAGTATTATTTTCCAGTCTTGGATTATAATATAAAGATGTAAGCTGTTCTGGTGTCAAGGGCTGCAACTCTTTCCTTCTTTCAACCTTAGGTTGTGGCCTTTGCTCAGCTTCTCTTGGACGAATGTCCTCCTCCATGGGAGCTGAACTTTGTACTTCAACAACAGGAACATTGTCCATTGTCTGTGATGTGGTCTGAAGGTTACAATAAATACAGAAAAATAACAATATTACAATTAAGCATGACAAAGGTCAAACCCAATCTTAAATATACATGTATTACAACTAGTTAACATGAGTCATACCATAAATGTTATAAGTATTCTATATCATTGACTTGAAACAAATATAACACATTAAGATATATGTTCTAAATGTTCATCTTATATTCATTATGCCATTACAATTCATATCACTTGCTTAACCAAAAATACAGAAGAAATTATATTGAAGTATATATGGCTTTAAAACCCACACTGATTAGAAAAAAAATGTTACCAGTTCATTTTCTTTGATAAACTGTTGCAGCTGCTCTGATAGGTCAGGATAGAGATGTTGTTGAGGCAGATGTACAGGTACTTCATCAACTTTATATCCAACTAACTCATTCTCCACTTCAAAATCTACAGGTGTGCCAATGTCTTCCTTTGGTTTTGAAACAGCTTCCTCTGGTTTTGTAACTGCTTCATTGTCTATGTTTTTGCTAGTATCTTCTTCAAATCTTAAATCTGTTCTATTCTCAACAATGTTTTCAGTTGGTTTTTCCTCAGTTTGTTCTTGTGCACTGTCTGTAGCTTCATGATCAGTTTCAGCTGTTTCCTTTACTTCAGTTTGCACAACTTTGTCTCCTTCTTCTTTAATATCATTATCAACATTGTCTTTTTTATCTGCGGTTTTAATCTCTGCATTTGTACTCTTACTTGCATCATCCTTTTCCACTGTTTTTATATCATTGTCTTTTTCTTTACTACCTGTTTGCTCTGCTAGCAGGTTTTCTAGGCCATCAATATCAGGAATTCCTTCTGTGAGATCATCATCTGGGTCAAGGGTAGTCTCGTCTTGTTTCTTCTTCTCCTGTAATATTTTATACTTATAAATAAGTATTGCATATTTATCATAGAATAATCCAAAACAACTTGAACCAATATTTTATTGTATCTGGCAATGAAAAGATAAAGAAATATACCTATGATTTTTTGCAAGTTTGGAATTAGTATTGAATGTATTAAACTGAGAAATAAATGTTTCTTAAAATAACTCAAAATTACATACTGTAAGAAAATACAAATAGTTTTTTTACCATATGAAATTGTCAATATAAAAGAAACAGATAAATACATTCAGTTTCCACAGTGATTGCTAAAACAGTAACATCATAGATGATATCTTACTGATCAATAGAATATTGCATCCATTTTGTCACTATAGAATACATGATTAATACAATAAGATTAGTTTCATCTCCAGAACTTCCAACAGCAATGTAGAATAACATATCAATCAATCAAAATTTACTGAGTTATTAGATAGTTATTTATAACATAAATATGTATACCGATATACATGTATGATGTATGTGTGTGCTGACTTACTTTCTTTACAATAATATAATATGATATATAAGTTAATGTAATATAATATAAAATAGTGTAATATAAGATAATATAATAAAATACAATTCTGGAGAGTTTAACAAGGAATGAGAAAGTTTACTGTAATGTTGACTATAAAATAACTGGATGTGAAAACATTTTTTTGATAAGCCATTTATCTAGCTTCATATAATACACTGTATTTGCATATATAGAAATAAAATGTTCTTTACATCTGATGACCTTAAAGACATTAAAAAGCAACCTAAACATGTTTGATTCACTAAAGGAATTAGCATCATAAAAGCAATGTTGCAATATTTAAACTATTCTAAGTTCACCTGTGTTTATAACTTTTTTGTATCTATTCAAATGTTCAAGGCTGTTTGATAAAATGAGGAAAGTATAATCATTTATCATTCTTGTTAATTATATAACACCTCATATACTTCTGCAAATAAAGAAATAATTTCCCCTTGACTGCTTTTCAGTACAAAACATAGATATGTCTATCAAGTATGATGTGACTGTGTAGTCATTTTATAGGATAAAGTAACACAGAGCAGGGCTTGAGCAAAAGATGTTTAGATTACTATTGCACAGTCCTATCAACTAACATATTACACCGCATCATGATATAAACATTTTCTTCCAAATTAGGGAGAAATTATGAACACAACTTGTTAGAACCTATCATTCAGTGACTACTGTCAATAAAACACACTTTTTTAAAGTACATGCACCTTTAGGAATTATGTTAACTTGTCTAATAGTAAAATAATGAAACTATCAGTAATTAGGCTGTGTGTCATGATATAGAACTTTTCATTAATGATTATAGGGGAGCTTTAAAAATATCGCGCCTTGAACATGGTTCATCAGAATACCTTTCAGCCTATGTCTCCCCAATTTACAGTGACCAGTTCTATGTTATGACAGTCATACTCCCTTACTGTATAGAACTTTGTCCTCAATTTTCAAATGGGTACATGTGACTACATGTATAATCATGGCTCCTTATACAGTGCCAAATGTCTCACAGTGAAAAATATGTACAGCCTGACCTGGACTCAAAAATTGGACCCTCAGAATATCAATGTCAGGTTTTTCGGAAATTTCCTCAAGTCAACAATAATAACAGCAGAATGACCGGAGATTTCTTTACCCAGTTTTCTTTTCAGTTACATAACAATAAATTTATAAGGTGTCAGTATAATATTATATTTAATCAGCATTTGTGCAATCAATATTGTATACTGCACATTTAAATAGAATGAAAGGACTGGTGCAATAGTTCAAATCAGACCCTTGGAGGATAAATATAAATAATTTTGATAATCCAAATTATAATTAATCATGAGACACATGTTTCTCACTGTACATTTACATTAATTCTATAGCCTATTTCATTATCATGTGTTCATGTAAGGTTATGAAACACATAGTTTCCTCTTCAACTGTTAAACACTTCACCAACCATATTACATTCTCTGCCATTTCTAACATGACTTCAAGGAAAAAAGGTAATTAGTTAACAAATAAGTTGTGGAGGTACTGGTAAATGACTTAGTCACCTCGGTCTAAGAGAAATATGAAGTAGATCTGACCATTATATTTGATTTCAAAAGAGGCATTCCGATAAGTAAGTACTGCTGATTGAAAATGCATGTGTACGAAATCTGAGGTCAAACTTTCCAGTGGGTTAAAAGCTTTCTAGATTACGAACTGTAGTCAATTCAGTTATCTTTAATGACAGCTATGACCTAATGATAATCCTAGTATCCTCCATGGCTAAATCTTAGGACCCCTCCTGTTTCTTGCTTATCTATATCAAACTAAATAAACAAGGGAGGAATGTAGAACAACATGGTTATCAAATCGAAACCCACTAAGTTCACAACTTCACAGCTTATCAGATATTAATTAGAAAGCAGTTTTAACGTTGTTCTGAAGTATGGTCTCCCCACACCAATACACATATAGACGAAATCAAAAATTTCCAAAAAAGAGCAGCCTGTTGAATCAAGCATGCTTAATGTTAGACCTTTAGCATAACTGACAATCACATGACCCACTCCCTCAAATCTCCTACAACAGAAACTCAGGATTCACATTTGTCTGGTTGCAATTTACATAGAAGAATACACTTTTCTCAATATTTCGACTGCATGACAGACTGATTTAACAAACTGATATTGTACAGATGTTGGTCTTAGAACTGTCGTTATAATAAAAAAGCCCCTTGTGCACAATTCGTAGGGCTAGCCATGGCCATCCCTCGAGCTGTAGATTATCTAAATATTCCTAAGACTACTTACTAAACGTTTCTTTTTTCTAAAACTGTTTACAATTAGAATCTCTTTCCCCCCCATACATGTAGATACCCTACCACCCTGGTTGTAGGATTGGGAGGACTATGAGACAGGATGGGCTGTACCAAGGTGGTCTGTAGAAAAGGACCTGCTCAAAAATTGTTTGTAATAAGTTTGCCTGCTCTTCATCAGACGTTATTTTGGTAAATCTCTGTCCTACTATATTTGGAGCACGCCAAGAATCAGTACCAGCTGGTAACCTGCACTATTATTTTAATTTATTGAAGCACTGTGAACGGGGAACAGTTTTTCTGGTTTCCTGTCTCATATGGTTCCCATTCAAATTGACAATCTGAAAACCTTTACCATCAATCCTAATGTCAAGTTTTGCAAAAATACATTTCCCCAAAATGGGACACTGCCAGTTTATTATCATTTTTTCCTAAAATACATGTATGTAAAATTTGACTGTTTCAAGTATGTGGAACAATTCATGATAAATTACAGGCAAAATAATTACCTTTTTATCGCAACTGAATCAAAAACAGAATAGAGTTTTTATAGACATAGATGACAAGTCAATATCATCTTCCAGTAGGCTCCTATTTTACGATATGAGTTTATGAACATTTAGCTAAATCTATATGATAAACAAAAATTTTGATATAAAAATATTGGATTTCACATTAATGCATGGTCCGCCTAATCTCGTCTATTAAATTTCTGTCTGCCTTGGTATGATCTGCCCAGTCACACAGTCCGCTTTGTCTCTTTGGTCTACATCATGAGAGTTGAGACTGACATTAATCAGCTGTTTAAAACTGAAAGTAGGCTAAATTTCTTTTTCTTTTTTCAAACTTCTAGTTTCATCTTTTTATGCTTATTCTTTAAAAACAACTAAAAGATATTACTTAGTGATTTTAATTCTATGTCAAAAGTAAATCCATGGCTGAAAAATAAAGATCTGTAAACAGATAAATTATTTTTGGAAATTGACCCACTGAAAATAAGGCTAAGAACAGCTGTCTAAAACCAGGTGATGACAACACATTTTGTAAATAATTTGCTAATGTTAGCTATTTTCAGTTCTTTAAGACCAGATATATAAATTCAAGCATCGCATAGGATGATACATATACAGTTACCTTGCTTTTGCGTTTCACACGAACAGCCTCTGCCATTTTCTTTGTTTATGTCACATGACCAAGTTCCAAATTTAGAGCACGAGCGTGCAATTTACACGTTGTAATATTTGTCATTCTGAGTCAAGAGGTAAAACATTTATTAAATTACGGGATAATTGGTATGTGATCTTAACAATTTTATACTTTGATAGACATAATTTCTACTACTATGGGTTTATTTATTCTTTTAACAGCTTACATTTTTAGATTCTTTTATTTTCCGGATACTGTATCCAGAATATTCTTCAGTTCATCGTTCTGTACTTAAGCTATTTCGTACCCAAACAAATATCTTTAAATATTTATTTTCGACTGTCTAGCTTACTTTCTGAAAAACAAACAAAAACATGTAACCCTCGATTGTTTATCTCACAGGTGGAAATTTAGTACAATATATTAGACATTACAGGCTTGTTATAGTTTATGTCAGTCAAGCCTGACGTCGTTGCTTTGCCCAGAAGCAAAAATACCTCAAAGCAACGACATATTTATAGACTAGTGGAAATTCAGGTTTTATCAGTTTGCAGGGCTCTAGCAACTCGGCAATAAGTTTGAACTTTGCCAAATTTAAATTCAAAATGAAAGGAATCGCAGCATGGTCAAAGAAATCTAAACCACATTTTTTTTGTAAAATTGAAATTAATTTGATGGGTGATATACAGTGTTACTACAATAGGAACCATACACAATAACAGATTAAATATTCTATTTCTAATTGAACGCAGTTTACTTTAGTGAGTTAACACAATCAGAAAAACATGATGGTATCAGTATACCCTAGCCAAGGAAAGACTGCCTTGAAAAAGCATGTTTTGTATTGCAAAGACTCAATATTTATATTTTTATATAGTTTGATTTTGTTTGTAAAAGTTTTTCTAGAAAAAAAGTCAGTTTGATTTTATTTTATAAAAAATACAAAATGCTTCATATAGATTTTACCCCTTACGTGTTTCAGAATTTGCATTTTACCCCCTTTTTTTAAGGGGTAAATACCCCTTGGCGAGCTCTGCTGAACATAAAAATATATTAAAGATATAAATTCATTTCGCAGTTTAACTACATAATATAAAAACATTGATAAGTTTTGTATTGTCTTTACACTTTTGTTATGGCAGCAATAAGAAAAAATTTATTATGACTATTTGGATGTTATTTGGAATAAATTGTTGACATAAATTTTCATTTTGTAATTTTATTTAAAAGCTAATTTAAGTTTCTTTCATATTTTTGTGTCTTTCAATATTTCCTTACACCAATAAATTAATTATACTTTAAAAAAAATTATCAATGAAATTGGTGTAAACTGTTTGTACCTTCTTATCTCACACTGCTTGTTTAAGTCTTCAAAAATATGTGAATAAACTTATTAACTTCTTTAGATATTTAATGTCATAATAATATATTACAATAAAATCTATATTACAAATAGTAAAATAAATTAAAATGCCAATAAAAACAAATGCTCTGACTTTAGTAAGGCGATTTTGACATGATGGGAGTAAATGCTTCAAATTATTGACAATGCTTAAATGTTGAAAATGTAAAATTCAGTGTGTTTACTTTCATGATAATGTAAATATTATGACTTGCTTAAAATATATACTTACTGACCATAAATCCTCATGAGCTGAGATGACCACATGGGGTTGGACATTTTTAGGGATCTATTTTCAAGGATTTGCTGATCTGATTATGCTGGGTGGCTCGGGCGACAGATAAATGTTGTATTTATTAAAACTTACTATTAGAATTCAAGCTTGTTTAATATTATAAGAATTTGCATGTGAAATATAAATTGACATGTTAATTAACATTTTTGTGCCCCCACGTTAGTGGCGGGCATTTAGATTTACCCTTGTCCGTCCGTCCTTCCGTCCGTCCGTTCACTTTTGTGTCGCACGTATCTCAAAAATTATTTGACCGAGAGTCATGAAACTTTACAGGAATGTTGATCAGCATGTGTAGTTGTGCACCTGGGTATTTTCGTGTGGATATTTTTAGTATTTTAAGAGTTATTGCCCTTGACTTAGTAAAATTTTGCAATTTTCAACTTGTGTCGCATGTAACTCAAAAAGTATTTAACCTAGAGTCATGAAACTTTACAGGAATGTTGATCAGCATGTGTAGTTGTGCACCTGGGTATTTTCGTCTGGATATTTTTAGTATTTTCAGAGTTATTGCCCTTGACTTAGTAAAATTTTGCAATTTTCAACTTGTGTCGCATGTAACTCAAAAAGTATTTAACCTAGAGTCATGAAACTTTACAGGAATGTTGATCAGCATGTGTAGAGGCACCTGGGTATTTTCGTGTGGATATTTTTAGTATTTTCAGAGTTATTGCCCTTGACTTAGTAAAATTTTGCAATTTACAACTTGTGTCGCATGTTAATACTCAAAAAGTATTTGACCTAGAATCATGAAACTTTACAGGAATGTTAATCAGCATGTGTAGTTGTGCACCTGGGTATTTTCGTGTGGATATTTTTAGTATTATCAGAGTTATTGCCCTTGACTTAGTAAAATTTTGCAATTTTCAACTTGTGTCGCATGTTACTCAAAAAGTATTTGACCTAGAGTCATGAAACTTTCCAGGAATGTTGATCAGCATGTGCTGTTGTGCACCTGGGTATTTTCGTCTGCATATTTTTAGTATTTTTAGAGTTATTGCCCTTGACTTAGTAAAATTTTGCAATTTTCAACATTTGTCACACGTAACTAAAAAAGTATTTGACCTAGAGTCATGTTACTTTACAGGAATGTTGATCAGCATGTGCAGTTGTGCACCAGGTATTTTCGTCTGGATTTATTTAGTATTTTTAGAGTTATTGCCTTTCACTTAGAAATTTTTTGCAATTTTCAACTTGTGTCGCAAGTTACTCAAAAAGGATTTGACATAGTCATTAAACCTTATGGGCAGGTTGCTCATTATATTTAGATTTGCACCTGGGGTTCGCTTGTGGATTTATCCAGTATTTGTAGAGTTATTTCCCTTGACTTAGTGAAAAGATTGACGGAACAGTGGCGCGGTGGGGGCACCCGTGTCCTATGGACACATTTCTAGTTTTTATTATAATTGTCTGTAATGAAATGAATTTTATATTATGATGTATAATTATAAAACATAGATCTAAATGTTTAAACCTATTTATCTTGGTGAAAACTGTTTGTATACAAAAAAAATATGAACATTTCTTTACAGCATCTTGTATGGTAATCCCTCAGACCAAGTTGCACCAATAGACCTTTGAAATAAATGGTACTTGCTGGGTGCATTAATTTCTGGAATAGTTGTCAGGTCTGGAGAATCTTGAATATAATATAACTGTGCAGGCTATCATGTCATTTTGCATGTATTTATAAGTGTAAGGTGTTATAGCTTGGTGGTATGGCATTATGAGTTTCATACTCACGTAACTTTCTGTTGTAAATAAAACTGTGCAGGTACTAAAATCTGTCAAAAGTAACATATATATTAAGCAGGATAAAAAAAATGTTAAAAAGATGTAATTTAAAACTAAATAGATTTGCAGAGCTTTCGGGCTTTAGTGATTAAGTTGTTTAAAGGCCCATAATGCCTCAGAAATGCTTATATTTCTCTTTCTGAAAAGCTTTTTGATTTTGGTGTATTTTTATTGGATCCAAAATGTTACTCATTAGTCCATTACCTGAACCATCTCGTCCATCAATGCTTTTGTGGCAATAAGAACAGTTATAGTGAATTACTTTTAGTATTTTGTATGGAAGTCAAAATACTACTTTGTTTACATTTTGTTACTTTTATGACAAAATGTTTCACATTTATTGATACTTTCTTCAAGTAAGAAGCATGGAATATGCTCTAAAACCATTATTTTAACATTATATAATTCATGTTTGACCTTTCTAAAGAAGTTAAATTTTATCTGTTTCTGAAGCAATGTGCCTTTAAGTTGTTGACACCTAAAATATGGACTTTGTGATATCAGTTTAAGATTTAGATTTTATATAAGTTAATATAGTTTACAATATTACTTGTTTTGTTGAAAGACAATCACAGGAATGAACTGTGATGTCGTGTAAATCAGATGTTGTCAGCATTAAATCAGTAACATTCCTTGACAATCATTGAATGAATTATGACCTATGTGTGGTCAAAATCAAGATAGGTAATAACTTGCATAGAAATTTTGTACTGACATTTTAATCCTAATACAGATTTATCATAATAGTATTGTAAAACAGCAGTTTTCATTTACACTGGGAGATTATTAAATAATTTATTGCCAAGTCAGCATTTTATAAATAAAAGTTTCTCTTCAAAGAATAATGATAGCTATATCTTAAGTTCGGTCTTAAAAGTAGTCTTAACTTGAATTACGTGCAGAAAGCTATTAGATTTTATGTACAATGTCATTGGATAATATGATCCATTTTAAGTATAGACAATCTTGACCTTATTGATTTTGCATAAAAAATTTTAAACAGTAAATTTACAGTTGGGATTTTCATATTATTGACGAAATATAAAAATTGAGCTACCAGATCAGACTGGTCTGCCTTTAAACTTGTAACAAAGGCTTATCACTTTCAGTTTTATCAGGTTAAAGTCTAATACATGTATCTATATAGGGAAACATGAAATCATAGCATATTTATGAATGTACTGGCATATTGATACCGAAAGATTAGCATTATTAAAAATGTGTAAATCAATTGCAAGACTTAGTGCAATTTTGCTAAGATTTTTAAAAGTGTATTGCAAGACTTAATGCAATTATGTTAAGATTTTTAAAAATGTGTAATGCAGGACTTAGTGCAATTATCCTTTCAGAAACAAAAATTGTAGGGCATAACTATAGAGCTGTTTCATTCTTCTATAGTTCAGTGGTTCTGTATTTCTGTTTCACTTTCCTGCAGTTCATGGCAACTTTATTTATGGACCAATACTTTCCATGCTTGGTTACATATACATACCTTTGCTAGGTGTCTAACTTTTGGTGTTGTTTGGGATCAGGGTCTAAAACAAGGTCACCTATGCTAAACGATAAAATATAGAAAATATAAGTTATGGACCACAATGGAAAAAAAGGAGAAAATTACCAATTTACAGTG